TGTATGCATGTATGTATGTGGCTTATCATTTATAATACAAAGCTTATAGTATGTAAGATGTGGCTTAGTATATGTGATGCAGGGCTGCCCCACCCTTCCTCCCCGCACCCCATGGTATCCTCCCCCCCCTGCCNNGGGTGGGGCCTGTGGTGGTACCCTCCGCCCCTGCATCCCCACCTCGCCCCTGTGGGGGCCCGGGACCCGAGAGCACATACATACATACATACATACATACATACATATATACATATATATATACATATATATATATATATGTAAAATAAGATATAGTGTATAACATTTACTACTTAATAGTTAATATGTAATATATGACATGAAATGCATAATGCATCCTATGTAGTTTTTATCGTGAAACATGTAGCACATAGGATATCATATATAAATGAAACATAATACATAAATATAATGTAGCATATTCAGTTTAGAACGGACAATATATGATATATAATATGGGGTATGCACCGAAATGACTTGGTGGTTTCAGACCGAGCCAAGTCTGTCTTGTGCGCAGTGCAGTTTGCAATGCAGGGGTAGCTTGCAAGGTGAAGGAGGTCTTGGGGGAGAGCCTAAATGTCTACATTTCTGGATTGCCGCGGCCCTTGATCACTCCAAGCTTCACCTGTCTCAGATGAAAAGCTCGAGGTTCAAAGCGGAGTACTCCCACCCGTTTATGAACATCGACGCCATCGTGGTACCAGACACTGCCGATACCTCAGCCATTGTTTTTGGTTCTGTGCCTCAAGTTGCGCCGAATTGTGAGCTTGGAGGTCAAGCCTATCCCTCCACAGTGGGTCAACGACGTGGAGCTGGATGAGTTCGGGCACGCACCTGAGCTTTGCTTTGAGGTTGAAGTTGATGGATGGGACCATCTCACAGCTTTTCCTGGGCTGCTCGGCGCATTCCACCTGAGTCGCACCGGTAAGGGCCGAGATGGGCGACGTGATCGGGGAAGGTCCAGTTCTGGCATGGAGTTCTGAGGACACCCTAATTCGCTGGGATTCCTGCAGATGTTCAAGAATCATCCGATTGTCCTCGCCTTGGCTTCGTCAGCGACGCTGGCAGGAGCGGAAGCAGCGCTATCAGCACGCCCTACGCAGACTGGACCTCAACGAGGCACTCAATGCATAAGGTTTTGCACGGGTTAGTAGAGGGGTCTCAATAATCGGAATAGGGTTCTGGCGAGTTTAGGGGCTCCAGTCAAAAAGGTTACCATATGTTACCATAAGGTCACTACGATAAGCATAACACATGGGTACTGTCCGGGGTGCTATACGGTCCCCATATGGTATGATGCGGGCACTATTAGGGGGGCCATTATCGATAAGTTCACCATGAGGCTACGGTATGATGCTTATTGTAAAGGTACTCTAAGGTTACCCATATGTGTACTACAAGGGTCATGTATAAGGACTATAAGAAAATCATCAATTTACCATAAGGACGCTTTAAGCCCCAAACCCCGAAGTTGCCTCGGGGTTTGGCCAGGAGATGCTGAGCTCCAAGCGCATCACGCTGATGAGTTCGAGCCCCGGCCTCTCCTCTTAGTATAGTGCCTCTGATAGTATCCTACATGTAGCCTTAGGGTCCCCCGTTGTTTCTCTGGCACTGCAGCCCCTTTTAAACACTGCCCCTGCAGGGCATAGCCGCACATTGTGCAACAGAGCGTCTTAAGCCCTCATGGCTGCGTTTGTGAGGCAAAACCGAGCTCGGCCAGGAAAAGAAACGCGTCAAAGCGGACTCTCAGCTGGGATCAGTTGCCATCGCAGAAGCAAGGTACATGCTACCTGCCGATGCTCTGACACGGAAGGAATTGAAACGCTACGACACTGATTGGAAGAAGCAGCACAGAACTCGGTTCTTCGATGTAGGTTGCACTCATGCAAGCCATGCAAGAATTGGATGGGTGAGGTTCAAGGTTCTACCAAACCATTCGCAGAAGGAGGTCATGCGACCGCTGTACCTCTACTACAGGCCAGCTAATACGGGTTTGTCGTTTATGACTGCCACCCAAAATGCGCAAGATGCTTGGAGGCGCCTCAAGAATCAGCTGGCGACGGCTGACTCCGGGGCTCGAGGTGGTGAGGGCTTCGTTGCGCAAGCATTCCGTTGTCATTGTGTACATACTGAGTGGCTGTTGCCCCAGGCACTATTGCGTCCATGTGATAGAGGCACTGTACAAGGTCTTTCTGTTGCCCTCCGTGCCCTGTCAGATCAAGACAGCGACGATGACCTCCTGGGCAGGCTGGGCAATCTCTGCCCTGGGGTGTTGTTGAATCGGTCGCATGGTGGCGGATCCAGCAGGCAGCCTGGCCCGGAGAGTGCGTCTCGACCTCAGTTTTTCGTCATACATGCACATCATCTTTCACTATGATAGCTGGTTGTACAAGGTATTACATTATACCAGATGCAACGCGAGTATGACGTGTTTTTTGCACTTATGGTTTTATACTACGTTACATGATGTCATATGGATTGTATTGTATTGTATTGTATTGTTTTGTATTGTAGTAGATTGTATATGCTCATGTTTTGCTATGTCATGTTATACTATGTTATAGTTTATGAGGCTATATCATATTGTAGTACACAATGTTAGGTTATACTTAGGTATGTGTGTAGATACAATTAGGTCAGCATATTTCATACATACGTATTGACAGCGAAAAGACGCACCCAAAACCCGACGCCCGAAACCCTGCCTCCGCCATAAAGGTTTTCCGACTGAGCACGAGGCTAAAGAGATTTGAAACGAAAAGAACCCATAAACCCTCCTAAACCTTACGCAGTCCTTACGCCCGAAATCCAAAGCCCCACATTGCATGCGAGCATGTCCCATATTCCCGAGGCGGTCTGGCAGGTCCAGGCCTGAGTCGTCTGGCTCTTCCAGCACAGAGAGCCCTTTCCTTGAAAGGGGTGCTTGAAATGGCTTCGAGGCGCACGAACAAGGAGAAAGCAGAGCTGCAGATCTCGCAGCTCGAGGCCAACCATGGGCCAGAGGGTTAACGAGGGCGGCGCGACTCGGAATTGCAGTCAGCGCAAAATTCCCAGGCGCGTGCCAACTCGCTGCAGCAAGAGAAAGGCCGCATCCTTGGCTGGAGAAGTTCTCCACTTCTTCAGCCCTGGAAAGCGGAGACATGTTTTGCCAACGGCCAGGTGCAATCAGGACCAAGTTGAAGGAGTTCCAAGAGAGCGATCCACTCAAGATTGCCGTGCTGTGCTGGAGTTTTCAAAGGGTATTGGAAGGCTTCGGTGTTCAGGGCTCAGGGTTATCTCCATCGGGCCTGACCTTTACTGGGCAGATGGGACGTGCTAGCGGCTCCTTCGGTCCAGCCCTTTCAGTTTCAAGTGGATCGAGTTCTGAAGCTAATGCAGCCATCTGCACCACAGAGGCTGCACAGCTGCTGCCAGGAAATGTTTGGGATAAGCTGTTTCCATCGTTGCAGACAGGGTGATGCTGCGTGATGGTCGCCCTCCTGTCACACGCAACCATGTGCTTGTAGAAGGAGCTCAGATTCCCATGTCGCTCAGACTTTCTTCTACAGCACCATCGAAAGATTCGCTTTCACAAGGCTTGATGAGTGCCTGCTTGACATGGAGGGATCAGCGTTTTGCTGCATATCTCGGTCTGCAGAGGACATCCTGCCCATCGAGAAGGAGTACAGGATGTACAAAAACATCAAAGAGGAGCTGCAAAAGGCTCCGCAAGTTCGTGAACATGCGACGACCGGGCAAGTCGTTCCGTGCTTGCCAGGTCGAATCACAGTTGAGAAGCTTGCGTGGGTGCCCAAGTGGAGCATCGTCTGGGCTCTGCAGTATTTTCCTGTTGTCATCCATGTCAGACTCTGCGAATAAATGCTGCAGCCATTTTGTGGAAGGGGCTTAAACTTGCGCCCTGTGTGCCTCCCGGATCCTGAACATGGCAGCTGGGCTTCATAAGCCATCGAGTGATTCTGGCCTCGACTCAAGTCAAGCGAGGCTCTTCGTCTTCGAGGCCTTCTGCTGCTAGCAGCCAAAAGCTCAGCCTTCCGGAAGTCAATGGAAGTCATCTTCAAAGGCGTGTCTGGCCCTTCGAGGTCGCTGCGGCGCTGGCCCTGGTGAACTGCACCGGCTTCGTCAACACCGGCATTCAAGGCAGGAGTTCCCTGAAGTGCTTCACCAGTGAGTGGTAGCTTGGTGTCGGCATGGCTACACCGATCCAGCAGCCGAAGACAATCCTCGCCATGGCAGATTCTATCAGACTAAGAAAATACACAAGCAATTAGTCGATGACTCCTGTTAGCAGCACTTGTGAAGAACCCGGCTGTTGATCTCGCCGTCAAGAATGCTCCATAGCTCCGCCTGCAAAGAGACAGGATCACGTTTGGGTGTTTTGATGCTTGAGGCCGCCTGTCCCAGGATGTGACGGCACTCAGAGCCGAGGCGAAGAAGGCACCGCCTTTAGAAGAACGGCTGAGCTCTTCTCGCGTGGATGTTGATGTAAGAAATGTGACAAGATGCAGGCACCAAAGAAGAAGGCCGTGACAAGTGAATCCTTGTGATGCATGGTGCCTCAGAATTTGAATCTTCTCGGCACAGGCCAAGGGTCCCTGGGTAGGGCCAAAGAAGGGCTCTTGGGTGAAGATCCTGCGCCCCGAGTCTTACTGGCATCTCGGCTGCTCCTGGCCGCTGAAGCTTCGCCAATGGCTCTCTACTCGCTTTGAACCTGCTGAGATCCCAGGTTCCAGCAGCGAGGACAGGTGGTGAACGTGAACCAGAAACCTGAGGTCAAGTATCCGGTCACCGCCGTGGCCACAGATGGCCAGGGAGGGTTTTTGTGGCAGAACGACGTCGCTTTCTCCGAGGTGAAGTTCGACTCTGTGAACTACGCAAATGTGAACACCAACGGCTACGCGCTGTGGGAGGCCAGAAGGGGAAGAGCTACCAGCAGCTACCAGGTACCGAGAGGTTGCTGTGTTTGCACCGGAGGTGATCGAGGCGCCTGCCCCGGGCCCAGGTGAGGTCTGAGCCGGAAAGACGGCCGACGCGTTTTTAAACACGGGGCAAAAAGAGGGCCAGGGACGTGCTGGTCTCATGCAGTACCCCAGGAGGATCAGGAGGCAGCTCTCGAGATTCCTTGCTGTCGCTGAATTGAAGTCCCTCGCCTGGCTCAGGTGGAAGTACAGTGCTGTGAGCGCCATCGGTTCACCGTGCCCAGTGCAAGCCTCATCCAACGCGTTTGGTTTCACCTTGTCTTCATGTGCCAATGGATGCAATCCGATTTGCTTGCCATGAGAAAGTCACCATGAAAAGAGTTGTAGCTGCAGTGGTTCTTATGCAGGTGCGTGCGCCTGCTTGTAGCATTGAACCTCGCCATCCCGTCCAGTCTCGCAGGGCGCGGCTCCAGGAATTGATTTCTTAAATCCATGAAGCCCCAGCCAGGTGCTTCCGGTCCTCTCTCTATCTCGGCGGCAGTGAAAGCCGCGGGAAAGCGGAAAGAGTGGGAATCTGCTTTGTTCTGCCTTTACGACAAGAGAGCTTTGTCGCCTGGGTCGGAACAGCGATGGCATCCGCTTGCACTGGCACCTCCAATGGCCGCAATGGGCATCTGCGCCAGGGCGAGTGCTTGGGCTTCGGTGATTCAGGTCCTGGATGCCATCCATGCATGTGACCTGAAACCAGATCTCTACATTCTGGGCTCAGCTTTAAATGCATGTGACAGAGGCTATGCATGGTCTGCTGCCTTGCATCTTCTCTGTGGAATTGGGAAGTATGGGCTTGATTTCAGTGAGGTCCTCGTCAACTCTGCAACGACTGCATGTGACAAGGGCAACCAATGGGCTTGCTCGCTTTGGCTTCTGTCGGACTTCGGGACGAAGAGATGTCGGCTGGACAGTGTCATCGGGCACAGTGCGGCTATGTCTTCCTGTGCTCGTTTCGAGCGCCACTGGGCACGATCTTTAGTCCTTTTCGACAGGCTACAGCATCGCTTCACCCCGGACATCATAGCCTACAACAGTGTTATGCATGCGTGTTCTACTGGTGCTGCAGCGGAAGTAGCCAATCACATCCTCGCTCAGATGCAAAGGAGGGGACCTCCACCAGATTTAGTAACTTTCAATACGTTTATAACAGCATTGAGCAACTCACATGCTTGGTCGCAGTGCCTTGGGATGCTCGAGCAGCTTCAGAAAACAGGTCCGGCACCATCCGTGGTCACATACAATGCTGTGCTGAGCTCTCTAGGACACGACGAATGTAGTTGGACGCTCACCATCGTCTTGTTGGAGGCTATGCATGACCAGGATGTTCTTCCTGACGTCGTAACGTTCGGATCCATCATGAAAGCCCTGGCACGTGCTTCGCAATCGAAGGTGGCTCTGTCTTTCCTTTCTTGGCTGGAACGCAACCATGGCCCGACGAACGAAGTCGTTTACAGTGCAGCCGTCTCAGCCTGTGAGGGTGGATGGCTGTGGAAAGAGAGCATTGCCCTGATCGGAAGGGCGAGGCGGATGAGCTTGAAGATGGATGCCATCGTCTACGGTGCCGCCTGCAGCACCTGTCAGAAGAGCCAGCGCTGGGAACATGCCATACGCTTCCTGGGGACAGCACGAGATCAGTCCGTGGCAAGCACTGCGAGCACCCCGCTCGCCAATGCGGCCATCTCTTCCTGTGCAGACTCCGCGCAGTGGTTTTTAGCTTCGCAACTCTTCCAAAGCGCCTCCTCTTTGCAAGTTGAGGCAGACACCACGACCCACAATGCATGCCTCACAGCTTTCTCCCGACAGTGGGAGACCGTTCTGCACCTCATGGCGCTGGCATCGATCCAGGAAGCGCAACTCGACACGGTCAGCTTCAATGCGCAACTCGCAGCCATCGCAGCGGAGGGCGCTGCCAGCACTTGGAGGCAGGCCGTGCATACGACCGCAACCGAGATGCGGCGGCGCAGCCTGCAAATAGACACGATCGGACTAAACGCTGCTATGACCTCGCTTTCAAGCGAGTGGGTCCTGAGTGGGGCCGCACACTGAGAAGCTCATGGGTTGTGGTGTGTTGCCGTAGATTTGAGTTGGGCCCGTATACCCGGCATTTGATGCTGGGAAGCCAAGGCCATGCTTGCACAGATGAGATCGGTGGGACTGAAAGCCGACGTTTTGTCGATGGGTGCTGCCTTGGCTTCTTGCAGCTCGTGCCAGCAGTGGGCGGCTGCACTACTCTTGCTGCCGTTCATGCGGCTTGCCTGAACTTGCCACGAGCTCTGAAAGTGTTTCCACTGTCGGCCTTTGATGTGCCATGTGTGCAGGCAAGACGACGCAAACATCAAGGTGACTGCGGGGAACCAAGCTTTGCAGTTTTACGAGCTTACAAGAGCCCTGCCCCAGGATCGTGATGCCGGTCCCCTGGCGGTGGCAGTGGCCGGAGTGATTGATACATGCCAGGGCTTGCGTGAATCGGCACCTGTGCCTGGGCTTTTGATGTGTCTTCGCCGGCATCTTGTCTCAGTCCCTGGGCTGTGTTCATGACTCTGCATCGTTTATCTCTCGGTGGCTGGGAAATCAAAGACTCTTTGGCGCCGCCAAAGGTGATGACAACTCGTGGGCGAAATCCATGAGATTCTCCAGGTTTGAAACAATAGACGGTCAATAAATAAAAAACACAAATAACTGAATAAAATACATAACTTATATAACTAAATAAATAAATAAATATATGCTATCCCCGCCTGTAAAATCTACGTCGAAATTTCCTGTATACTTTCGAGACTATATTACGACTCTACTCCGAACATAAGTCTTGATCTCATTATCCCCTATCTACGACAACATAAATCCACTTAGACCAAGATAATGATGCTAAATATTACCGAATATTCCCTGTCTACCGACATTCTATAGCTAAAAATTAGAAGATATTCTATAAGATAATTATAATATTATTCTCCTGGATTCTTTTTTTTTCTGCGTCGGAAACTCAGAGTCAAAAATTTTAGATCGTGGGTTTTAATAGATTTTAGATATAATAGAGACCCGTATTTTTCGATTAAAATATGTATATTTTAGATATTATAAACTCTATTTAAGAGAAAGATATTTGATATTAAGAAAAAAAAGATGATATTGGTTCTTAAGGATGAAAGATAGATTTTGTTTCGAAATGAAAAATCTATTAAAATATTATAGGGATTTTTGGACTACGGGATTATTAAATTGATTTTGATAGTTGGACATATATTATTAAAATAAGAAAAATATTATATTATAACTCTGCTTTGGAATTTTCGTATGTAAATAATATTCTAATAAGATATAATAATTGAATTTGAATGGGTATTGGCACCTATTAGTAAGTAGATTGTGGAATTTATTTCTTGTCGAATTTCGTTAAGACGAAATAGATAACGCTCCAAATAAATTAGTTAGTTGAGAAGGTTGGTGACCCATAATATTAAGAAGTGAATTTGGATTGGTATTGGGTTTTTATATCCTTAAATATAAATTAGAGAGGCATTGATCCATACTTATAAGCTTAACTCTTGAATTAGATGGGTAGTGACCTATAAGAACAATAAATAGAAATAGATGGGTATCGGTCCATAACATGAAGCTGAATCTTGATACGTATCGAAATATAACCGAACAAATTATAGATGGATACTGACCCACAAAGACGTTAATTGAATTTACATGAATATTGGCCTACAAGAACGAATTGAACCCGGATAGATATCCGCCTAGTCCAATATCAACAATATGACAATTTGACTGGGTATTGACCCGCAACATTCATATGCTCAAATTATTGATTCTCGATAGATAAGATTATATTTAAAATAATATCTATCGACCCAGAGAAATTGGTATGTATGAATCCAAGCTACATGTGTATGTGTACGTGCTTATGTCCATACTTCTATGCAATTGTATATAAATACCAATATTGATTTATACATGCTTTATATATTCTATCTAAAAAACCAGAATCTTAAACTCAGATTCAATATGTATCATGGGCGACCGTTTGGGAAGCCACTAACAAACGTCTTTATATGTAGATTATCAGGCGGATATTTAAGTATGTGCGAAGTGCGACTCGTGATTTATAAAATTTTTCGAGATCCAAGCATTCCTTCCAGGATTTGAGGTTTGCCACCCATCGTCTCCTCTGAAAGAGATTTAGGAGTCAATAATTTTCTTGGATTTTGGGGATGGTTTGGATATTATGCAGATCTGTTAAAGTTATCTCTGGCATTCGTTTATTGCAGCACTTTGGATGTCGCACTCATCATCTATTATGTGGAGTTGACCCATGATCTGCTTTAGAGGATATGGTTGTCAGGCTACTGTCTGGTTCCGT